AGCGCTTAGTGGACAGAACACTCAAATTAATCAATTACTAAAACTTAAAATCCCGAAAATGCCCCTGAAACTGCTGAAATTACCATTCTACCCCTGAAAATACTGCAATTTACCATTCTACCCCATCCCTTTCAATCTGTACCAAAACCATATCAGCTATAACCAATTCACCTACTCAACGATCCAATTAACAAACAAACTTAACAGGACAAACAAGTAGATTTAAATCACTAAACTCAACATCAGTTGAACTCAAACTAAATCAAACAACATCATAACCAAGATGAATGATTCATACTAAATCAAAAACTAAAAACCAACACATAAACACTCACATTAAATCACTTGATGAAAAACTAACGAACTTCAAACAAAATGAACACGAATTATCTTTAATACAAACAAAGACGTGGGTTCGAATTCAAACCAACCCATCAGAACACAAACACAATCATAGAAAGAAGAAAAAGAGCGGAAGATGAATTCACTGAACGGAAAACTAAAAGAAAAGAGAACGGAAACCTACTAGTTTGAAGTCCGGGTTCGAACGGAACCTCGACGTACCGCCTCGACGTATGACCGAGCATGGCCTCGAATGCATGACCTCGACGTACTGCCTGGAGATGGAGTTGGAAGCAGAATGATGGGGTCACTGGTTGTTGACGTTCGCGGATGAAGTTGGACGTTGGGTGGTCGTTCATGGCTGGACGTAGCAGAAGCGATGATGGTCGTTGCTGGTTTTTCCGGCGATGGAGGCGACGATGATGGCAAAGCTCAGAGACGACGGGGAAATAGCAGTTGGCTGTTGGTGGCTGGTCGTGGCAGAATGACGGACTGAAGGACGTGAGAGAGGTTGTTGGACGCTGATGGGTGGTTCGATGTTACTGGAGTGAGGTCGAAGGGTTTGGCGATGGAGTTTGGTAGTGTGACGGGCTGTTTCAGGTGGAACGAGGAAGAATATGATCGAAGCTGGCTCGAACGGATGGACTAGAATGGTGCTGGTTGGGCGACGCTGAAGGGGTCGTTTGGAGGGTGGTCGCCGGAGGTGAGGTGAAGCAGATGCAGAAGGGAAGCCATGGGAGTCGGTTGGTTTCGAGAGGGACATGGTCATGGGCTGCTGGACGTGGAGGAGCTGGCTGCTCCGACGAAGACGAAGGCGAAGCAGAAAAGGCAGCCATGGGAGTTTGAGGTGGAGGGGTCGTTTGGAGAAGGAGAGGAGAGGGGGCGGGCAGCTCTTTTTTTAGGGTTTTGGGGTTGGGAAAAATGAAAAATGAAAATGGGGGGTTGGGATTCATTTGGGTTTTAGGGCGGACTGGGTCGGGTTGACCCGGTGGGGTTATTTGGTTTGGGCCTGGTTGATTTAATTTAAAAGGTTGCTCAATCCGATTTTCTTCTTATTTCCAATGTTTCTTTTTTTTTCTTCTTTTATTTTTTCTTAAACTAAAACTAAATTCTAAAAATCCTAAATTATCCTATAGAACTAAATTAATTTATAAAGTGCAAATTAACTCTTAATAACAATTAACACATAATTAAATAGCAGTTACGATAAAATCACATAATTTGGACATTAAATGCTAAAAATGCAACGTACATATTTTTTTATGATTTTTTTGTTCTTGTAAAACCAACTTAATTGCTCCTTATTATAGAATTAAATTCTAAATGCAAATGCGACATATTTTTGTATTTTTTTTTATCAATTTAACAAATAAACATGCACGAAAAATTACAAATAATTATCCAAAAAATGCCACGAAAATTCTCAAAATTGCACACAGAGAAAAATTATTTTATTTTGAATTTTTGGGAGTATTTCTCACAAAGGGCAAAAATCACGTGCTTACAGCTATCTACAGTCTTTGGTTTTATGTCCATGGGTACCATGGTATTTGCATATTTGATTAGGGTTCCTTTGAGCTGGATCGGTCTGTAAGAGTCTGGGCCATCTAGTATTCTTGATCTGTCCAATGGCTGATACAATACCTGAGGCATCGATGCTAAAGTTGTATTCTAATAGTTGTGGTGCTTCTGTGGGATCGGCATGTTTATCGAAGCCACTTTTACTCATGAGCCCTCGGGAGCTCTATCCTTGATCATTTCGAACGGGATTACGTCCTGGGCTGCTGTTTTTACGATCCGCGTTGTATGGTTGGTAACGATCTCTGTTTGATCGGGGTTCTCTATTAATGTCCCTTTGAATTCTGCCGATGGGCCTATTTGTATAAATGGAACCAGAAGGGGTTCCCAATTTATCATCCTCGGCCCTGATCTTCGACTGATATCGATTATGTACATCGGCCCAGGTCACAACTGGATATTCAATTAAATTCTGCTTTAGTTGTTGTGATGTATCGAGCTTCGCTTGTTCAAACCTTGAGTGAAGGCTTGAACAACCCAATCATCTATGACCGGGGGTAGATCCATGAGTTCCATCTGGAACCGACATACGAACTCCCTTAATATTTCATTGTCTTTTTATCTCAATTTGCAGAGGTCCGGCTTCCTAGTTGCAACCTTTATTGCTCCGGCGTGTGCCTTTACGAACGAATTTGCAAGCATGGCGAAGGAACGATGGAATTGGGCGGCAAATTGTGCTACCATATCATCAGCCCTTTCGATAAAGTCTTTACAAACTTTTTCAATAGAACAGATTCAATCTCATTGTCTTCTAAGTCATTCCCCTTTATTGCGCATGTGTAAGAAGTAACATACTCATTAGGGCCAGTGGTCCCATTGTATTTTGGAATTTCTGGTATACGGAATTTCTTTGGGATGGGCTTCGGAGCCGCACTTGGAGGGAAAGGCTTATGCACGAACTTCTTCGAATCCAAACCCTTCAGAATCGGGGGTGCTCCCGGTATTTGGTCAACCCATGAGTTGTACATTTATACCTTTTTGTCATTAGCCTCGATTTTCTTTTTACCTGATTCGATCCATTTGGTGAGCACCTCGAGCATCTTTATAATGGCGGGGTCAGTCCCCGTTTCATTGGTGTTCGATTTCTCTGGTATAGGTTCGACTCTATGAACAACTTCTTGTGATGTTTCGAGCTCAATTCTGCTTGGTGCTCGATTCTGATTTTGGAGTTGTGCTATCGCAGCTTGTTGAGTCTACAATATTTTGAATATCATTCGAAGGCAAATTTCGCCTTCTTCACCGCTCTGTGCATTCTGATCGGGCATCTCTGCGGACACTATTTTCAGGGTCAACACCCAAATTTCCATTAATGGCAATATGAGAGCTGACATCGACTGGGTCTACGGTCGGTGCTCCATCAGAGTTGACTGGAGGTACTCTATTTCCTGGGGCGACTATGTTCTCGTTCTCGCCATGATGACCATGGCCGTTATCTGTGTGAGTAGGTGCTACTTGAGAGTTTGACATGTTGATTCCTAAAATCAAAGACACTTACGAGAACAAGCTAAAAGCAGTGTATGTTACGAGAATTAATATTAGGAAATTACTATTATTCTTAGCTGCACGGTGGGCGCCAAATTGTTTACCAAAAAAATTGAATAACAAATAAATTTATAATGTGATCTTAAGGACACATGATTTCACCTAATATCAATTGATGAATATGAAGATTAGTAATAGAAATTAAAAATAAGATAAGGCAAACCAGTGTTTGAACAGAATTCAGCCCTCGAGTTTGAATACCCTCGGACTGATTGATGCAAGAACAGTTAAAAATATGACAATCTAATGAATGAGAATATAAGCCAGAAAGTATTGATATGTGTGAATATAAGGTAGTTAGAAAATGATTAGGACCCTCTTTATATAGTAGAGGAATCCTATCTATGGTGCAATTCTAATTATGAAAGTAAATCCCATGATTAGCTAAACAATCGCCCTTGATTTGATCTGTTCCGAGATTTATGCGATGATCTTCGACCAGCCATGGATTTCTCGCCTTTCTGTTATTGTGCTTTGCTCGATGTCTGTCTCATTTGGTCTCGACCGCTTCTGGCCTCGATCTCGACAGGTACCTCGGTCTCGAACTCGGTACCTTATCCTCATGTTTTGGTCTGATCTACTGGGGGGCCGATCTTTGATGCAATTCCCTGGCCTCGATCATATAGTAAAATCGGGTAGGCTCGGTTTTAACTATGTACGCAAGTATTAATAATTGAGTTCTAAATTTCATATGTGTACATATTTAATAAATTTCTTAATATAAATTCACTGTTTGCACAAAAATTACTGAATTTTTCCGAACCTGTAGCGGGCTACAAACTCCGTCCTTGCACACCTGTCTCGGTAGAGGATACGATCTCTTAGAATTGAGGTTTATTAGTTCTTAAGAACTAATGTAACTCAAAAAGAATTCTCTTGCTATTCTGAGGAAGCATTGTCCGATTAATGATATGGAAATTTAACAAAATTATATGCTCTCTCTATTTATTTGCCTCTACTGTCTGTCATTTCAATTACGTTAATTTATTTTTACTATATTTATGTACTGCTTGTACCCTACTAATTACGAACGACCGTAGATCGAGAATTCTCCCTCTACACTATGATGGATTTGTGCTTGAAGATTAGCTCATAAGCCATAGTATGGTTTATGCACCTCTCAATCCTCAATGTAATTTATCAAAGAATTGTAACTAATATATCTAAGATTTTTCTTGCACTATCAGATTATTTTTACATGTAGTAATAGGTAACATGTATATAAATCACACTTTTTATGTTGTGGGTAACGTGCTCGATATATATTATTAAACTCTTTATCAGTTTTTAATATTACTATCCAGACCCCCCATTTGTAGGAATATACTGGATATGTTGTTGTTTATCAATTTCCAATATTACTATCCTATTTCTACTATCCTATATCTAAGACTGTCAACTCAAGTTAGTGTAAGCACTTAGTAATGTTACCTGGCTGATTGAGTGAATAATTTCCGACCATCAATGAATAAAAGTTATGTAAAAAGAAAAAATATTTCAAAAAACAGAGAGAACAGAGAGAAGAGATTAAGAGACACTAACTAAATAAGATAGATGTCTAAATATCAAGATTGGATTATAATACAACCATCCACCAAAGTTTCATACAAGACTCGATTATTACTCGAAAAGACAGAAAAAAGAAGAGATAACAGACACAAAATAGAAATGGATCCATAAGCTGGATCAAATAACTCGATATCCATATTCTTATTATATTCTGCTCCTGATCATGATTGCACTACTGCCAAAGAGTGCGGTGAAAATCTGATCTTTCATCAAACTTACTGGACCCTGCATCGCCAAATTAAACCAGCAAATTAATCAAGGAACTATAAGCCAATAATATCCAGAAAAAATATATAGCGAGTATTGTATATATATATATATATATGTAGCTTCTAATTTATCAACATTGGTGTATGTTATAACTCTATTTTTTTTTTTTAACTTTGACAAACTGATAGCAAGGGAGGACACATCCTTTTGTAACATGTGAGAGAGGCGATCATAAATATTGTTTAAGTATCCCCCAGTGCTTGCTTATAAATGAATGGAATGTTGTTTTCTTATCTAGGTAAATACAATTATCATCTCATTAGCAAAATTTAGGGTTTGAATTTAGGCTCTATTAGGTTCATTTTCATCGCATGAAATCAGAGACAGTCCCATACCATTGTTAGTGTATTCATTGTTATTAGGTCCCACGTTATATCTTCCAGCACCAAATATCTAATAGTCCTGAACATGGTGGGGTGTTAATTGTCCCATATTGATTGAGGGAACGGAATATTGTTCCTAGCTTATAAAGTAATAGACAATCTTCACCTCATGAGTTATACTAGTTTTTAAGGCCGAATTAGACCCAATATTCTTTTTTTTAACAAGTATGCAGGTCAATTCAGTTGTAACAAAATAAGTATGTACCCCATTTTCAAGTGACTAATTAATAGTGCAAGAACTTAGAGTGAAGAAGATGATAACCATACTTAGAGCAGTCTGTGGAGGGGCTGATCTTGTAAGGAATGTTGACACCACAAGCACCAGGGAGACCAGCGGCTTTGCCCATATCAATACCCTTAATAGCATTAGCAGCCGATTTCAGGCAAGTGCATGCAGTCTTCCGGTCAGATGGGGACTTGGCTGCACCCAACAGACCTTTAACACCACCACAACAGCTCCCCAAAGGGCCGCGGCCCTGCAAATAAGGGAGACAAGGAGCCAAGCCGGACTGAACTTGGCCGCAGCTCAGTGCCTCTGCATGGGGTGCAACCACCACCATGCACAAAACCACAAAGCATGCAATCTTACCTACCATTTCCATTCTTAAAAAATTGGGGGAAGATAAAACAATAGAGTGTAGTGTCAGGATTCGAAGTAGTGAAGGGTATAATACTACAAATATTTTTGCTCGAGTGTTGGGTACATAAGCTAGTGAGAACTTTGGTTATTTATAGAGAGAAAATTGGAAATAAATTAATGGCCGGACAATGGAGGATTGAGAGAATTAGTTGGTAGTTGAGTTGTATTCAACGAGGGTAATAATTAGGGAGGTGCCGCTGCCTATAAAGTCAGGTTTAATTCTTACGTGTTTGACTTTTAATGAACCAGCTGTCATTTAGGCACTCTAAAAATCGACACCCTTAAAGACCGTGGTCCCAATCCTAGCATTCCTTATTTTTGATTTTGAGTTAATAAAGAATACTTACATTGTTAATTGTTCCTTCTGTCTCAAAATAAATCGACACCCTTAAAGACCGTGGTCCCAATCCTAGCATTCCTTATTTTTGATTTATGTGATAATATATTTTTTTTGAGATTTGAACTTTTTAAGTTTGACCTTGCATTTGATCAAAATAAATTTTAAGTTTTTCAAAATAAAATTTAAATATTTGAAAATTACGTAAAAAAATACTATAAGTCACAATAATTAATAATTCAAAATATTTTAAAAAATAATTCGTTTGTCTCTCAAATTCCAAACACTTTCACATAAACTACATTGTGGCGGAGGGAGTAGTTATTTTTACATGTTATATCACTTGTCTTATTTTTTAGATTATAAATTTCAATTTTTATAGATAATTACTTGTAAATATATATTTTGAGTGACTTGATAGTGGAACTAAGTGTCTATAAGTCAAAATTTCTTCTTCCTAACCTTGTCAAATAAATTTTTGGTAACCTACACAGTAGAGTATGACTTGATAAATACTAATTGATGAAAACGTTGTATATTTTATTATATATATATATATATATATATATTGTAACATAAAAATACTAGTACTATTCTTGTGAAGTTACTCTTATTGTAACAGTGATAAAAAAAAAGTTCCTCTTGGTACGCATATATACTGATAAGATTTGGCCCAAACTAAGCCTGAAAATCAATTACGCCTAACAAGAAGATTTGTTTTTTTCCTTTTAATTGGTGACAGCGGCGAAGCTAAAAATTTCTCCAAGGGTGTTCAAATTTAAAAGAAGTGAAAAAAACTTCCGACAAAGGTTGTTCAATATATGTTATATACTTGTAAAATATAATATTTTACCTATGTATACAGTGCAATTATTCGACGAAGGGTCCTGAGGACCATGTGGCTTCGCCACTGATTGGTGATGTCTTGTTCAGATTGTGTGACTATTCTGAATGCCTGTTACCTCCTATCACCGGTCAAACAATAGGAAATCTTCTGAGGCCTAGTCTATGATGTTAGCCTGATGTCTTCTGGAAATAACGTTTCCACACCGAAGGTGAGTATTTGAATTGCCTCTCTTAAATTCTGGTACATAAATAATTCTCAGAAATTCAAACTACACCAAAGATGAAACGAAAAGAAAAGAAAAAAAGAAGAAAGAAATAAAGTTGGAGTCGTCGTATTTCTCTTCTTTAACGTACATTGTCGTTTGTTTTCTTTCTAAACAATGCTTTATATGTGGAAAATACACGAACCAGTTTCAAATTAAAGCGAACAATTCATCTTTGTTTTTTGTTGAAGAATTAACCTAAATAGGCGCCTACCCAATCACTTAAATTAAAAATAGCCAGCAAATATATAATATATGTATGATATACATATAATCATGTATAGTTAGTGCATAATCTATGTATACCGGCTATTTGTTTGTTTGCCATGATATATATTAGCTCCAGTGCCCATATCGACCTTGTACGTCGTCGACCCTTAACTTTTATGCATCGAATACATATCCCAATTCCAGTTTCACGTGAATTTATCAAAACCATTTTGAGATATGCGTTTGACAATAGTTCACCGAACATATCTGCATGCATGAATTTTGATCTACACTGTGTTTGCATATATTTTTTGAGCCGAGAGTCTATCGGAAATAGCCTCTGTACCCGCACAAGATAAGGGTAACATTTGCGTACACACTACCTTTTTCAAATTTCTCTTGTGAGATTTCACTGGGTATATTATTGTTGTTATTGTACTGTGTTTGGTCCTTCTCTGGAAACGAAATTAAACTGTTACTAGTACTACAAATTTTTCTTTTCGATGCCTTGTTCACATTTCAATTTAATTTCTTCACTTGGTTAAGAAGGTAGTAGGGGTGTCAATGGTTCGGTTCGGACGGTTATTTCATAAAATTTGTACCATACCATTTTTTCGGTTATTCTATTATGTATAACCAAAATTAGACTTTTCGAAACCGTCCCAATCATGTCGGTTTCTCTTCGGTATTGGTACGGTTCGGTTAATTTTTGATATTTTTTTAAATATCATGTAAAATTCACTAGTTGAAGTAGAATGCAATAACATACGTTTTTATAAGATTTAGCAAAATTCTCTAGACATTTTTACTGTTTAAAGGGTGATGAATTAAAAAAAAAAAGCTGGCTAGAATATAGATCCATCAACTATTCTACAACAACGTAAAAGAAATCAAACAAAGGCAAAAAAAATATAAATCACCCGAGTTGAAAGATATACCAAGATGTGACTCAAGAATAAAGTCTATAGAAGATAAAATATTCAAAAAGATAAATCTAAATTATATGAAAGGAAACATATTCAATACATTGTAGTTTGCTACTCATAATCGATAAAATACTTTGTGTCTTGCTAATAAAGATACTTAAATAATTTAGTTTAAGTAGAAGTAGTATAGTAGGTTTTAGGAATTAGTATTTTGAGTTTAATTACTTGTTGGCTCGTAATAGTTTTCATAATTCCAAGGCCGAAAGAAAATTTAGTGCATTATTATTTTTAAACTTACCAAATAAATATATTTTCCACATGTAAAATTTATTCGGTACGGTTCAGTATTTTTTCGGTTTATTTTTATAAAATAAAAAACCTACCCTAATTATCGGTGCGGTTATAGATTTATATAAAAACCTACGGTTTCTTAAAAGGAAACCTAAAAATCGGTTCGGTGCGGTACGGTTCGGTCAGTTTAGTCGGTTTTCGAATATCCATTTACACCTCTAGAAGGTAGAATACTTGGAGTGCAAGTTTAGCAACAATATCCCGGAATGGAATTCGAAGGTGAGGTTTGATACGCAAGTCATCCCAAGACTCAAGAGAGGTAGTTTCTATAAGAAGTAATTTGTTATTTTTGTGGGGGAATGTGGGACTTTGCAACATCGTTGGCCTAAAGCTACTTTGTGGGCCTTTTAAGTTCTAGTCCATTTTATATGTTTTGCTTAATTACACACTATTAAGTGTACTAGTCTTAGAGTACCTTATCTCAATAAGAATTAAATTTTTTTAAAAAGTCAAATAAATATTATTTTAAGAATTATGTTTGAGTTATATAATAAAGTTAAAAGAAGAAAGTGTAAAATTATGAAAATGATGATTAATGTCCATCCTATTTAATTAATCCAATAAAGAAAGAAGTTGTACCTCATGTCCTTAAAATCAATGTTAGTTCTACTAAAAATAAATTATTAATTATAATTACGAATTTTATTCAACATGAACTGCTTGTGAAGGATAAAAGTTGATCAAAATTTCATGTTAATATTTCATATTTTTATGATATATTGTGTCAATATATATAGATAGATTAGACTCATCTATCGAAAAGTATTTAGTGCGAACATTGATTCTTAAATCATGTTCCATCAAAATTAAGGTGAAATTTAATTAGCTAGATTCAAAATTTTATATATTACATAAAATTTTAAATGTTACTATAATTTATTAACATATAATTATTTGTTGAGGGAATAGTTTAGTTTTTAAAGCTACAAATGTGAATATGTCGACCAACTTCAACTCTGTGACAACTAGCTTCATATAAATTATTCTACAAAGTTTTAGATTGTTAGGTGCCTTAAATATTTTATTTTTAGTTACTATTATTTTCAAAACTTTATATTTACCTTATATTTTAAGGTTATTTATTTTTAAAATTAAGATATAAAACATAACTATGTAGGTAGTTTTCAAAATTAATTCCTGGAAACTACGCTAATTAATACTTCAAAATCTAAAATCCACGTTGTTTTCAATCAATAATTTTTTTTCTTTTGGCTTTGTTTGTACTTTTAAGCTTTATAAATGTTTAGGTAAACATACTCATAATTATAATAAAATAACGAGAAATTTTCAGTAACCACTATGTTTTAGTGATTATTAACTCGCTATAGCTATCATTTACTAAATTACTTCCTATAGCTATGTTTTAACTTGTTATAGAGTTTATTCGATGTATTTAAGCTAATGTATTCATGAATACAATAAAAAGAGTTGGCGGAAAAAATGGAATTACGGCTAACGTATAGACTGTATTCATATGTATTCGCGAGCTGTATTCGTGAATACAGTAACAGAATTTGCGGAAAAAAAGTGTTCAGCTGTTTAAAAACAGTAAGTGAATCAATTAACGCGATAGACTCCTAATATAACTCAACAAACTTAATTATAATACACAAAATTTGTATTTCCAGTTATAGAAAAGATTCTCAACCGAAGAACACTCCAAAAATAGAGCAATCTTCAGAGATTCAATCCATCCTTTCTTTTTTTAGTGGTATCTTTACAAATAGATTTATATATTAAAATTACATAATTACATTGAATACAATTAAATACATAAAAATACATTGAATACATGAAGTATATCGGGTCATCANATATATATATATATATATATATATATATATATATATATATATATATATATAGACACACACACATCTGAATACATAAATTATATTAATTAAAAAAACATATGAATACATTCTCCAATACATTGAATACATACTGCTGAATATATATTGTTGGACAAAACAATGAAACAAAGTGAAGTTTTGAAATTATATAATTACATTGAATACAGTTAAATACATTGAATATATTGAAAAAGTAGAAAAAACTAAAGATAGTGAATGCAATGAAATACATGGAATCCAGCGAGATACATTGAAATACAATGAAAAAAAAGTAACAGATCCAGCTAAATCAGATTTTGAAAATTCAAAACTCTTGAAGCTTCAAAATTCAATGGCATCAGCGGACACCGACGTGCCTCTGGTTCCCGCCGGCGAGGGTTCAACCGGCGTT